ACTAAGAAAAAATAAGGGGCACTACTAGGGGTTTAGTCAGGATTAGAAATTGTATTTATGTTAATCGGAGAGAGAATTTGAAGAAAAAAAAGAAAGTACCTTTAAAAAATCTTGGTTTCGTCTTTTGAAAAAACAAATGTTTATAAATGACTGCAATGAAACCAAATGTTTATAAATGACTGCTATGAGAACAAATGTTTATAAATGACTGCAATGAAACCAAATGATTATAAATGATTGCAATGAGACCAAATGTTTATAAATGACTGCAATGAGACTAAATGTTTATAAATGACTGCAATGAAACCAAATGTTTATAAATGATTGCAATGAGACCAAATGTTTATAAATGACTGCAATGAGACCAAATGTTTATAAATGACTGCTATGAGAACAAATGTTTATAAATGACTGCAATGAAACCAAATGTTTATAAATGATTGCAATGAGACCAAATGTTTATAAATGACTGCAATGAGACCAAATGTTTATAAATGACTGCAATGAAACCAAATGTTTATAAATGATTGCAATGAGACCAAATGTTTATAAATGACTGCAATGAGACCAAATGTTTATAAATGACTGCAATGAGACCAAATGTTTATAAATGACTGCAATGAGACCAAATGTTTATAAATGACTGCAATGAGACCAAATGTTTATAAATGACTGCAATGAGACCAAATGTTTATAAATGACTGCAATGAGACCAAATGTTTATAAATGACTGCAATGAGACCAAATGTTTATAAATGACTGCAATGAGACCAAATGTTTATAAATGACTGCAATGAGACCAAATGTTTATAAATGACTGCAATGAGACCAAATGTTTATAAATGACTGCAATGAGACCAAATGTTTATAAATGACTGCAATGAGACCAAATGTTTATAAATGACTGCAATGAGACCAAATGTTTATAAATTACTGCAATGAGACTAAATGTTTATTAATTACTGAACGAAGAAAGGCCGGACATCATTAACCCAACACCTGAACCCCCTACCCTGACACACGTAAACCTTGGCCCCTACCTCTGACCCCCTTCCCCCCAGACCCTGACCCCACACCAGAACGTGAACTGAAACCGCAATATTGTTTTTGGTAACATGACTTGGAAATGATGAAATCGTTCAACTTCCATTAACTGTAAATTAATTTTATCCAAAATAGAGCACAATCCAGAAAATCAAATAACTGATGATTTGGGGGAAAAGATTGGCGGATATGAATCTTTTGAGTTCCTCGCAACGAACAGGAAATGATTGGATTGCACTCTTGAACTCATCAAGCAATGGTGACCGATGCAGAGCTTTATGAAAAGCCCAGGATCCTCTATTTTTTAAGTGAAAAAATCGCTAAAGTGAGGGTATCAACTGAAGTGGGAAGATAGAAAATACCGACCAAAATGCGAACAAAATGTTTATACACATATTCCGAAATAGAGCAAATCATCCATCCCTCAAATGTGCTCGATTATAATAAATGCCTCTGGAGTGTAAGCCGAGTAACAAAGTTCAGTTTTATAGAAGTAGGCCTTCGAGAATCAGATATTTTAATATAACAATTTGAATGTGATAGATACCATAAAACGAAAAAAAAATAATAATAAAGAAAGCAAAATATATATTTCTAAAATCTGCCACGTGGAATTAACAAAATTTTGGTTTGAAAGTAAAAAAATAAATAAAATAATACAAAGAATGGAAGACCATTCAAATGCAGTAAAAGAGGCGAGGGAAAAAAAGTGTGTGTGGGGGGGGGGGGGGAAGAGGTGATGGTTATCGGTGACACTAAAAGCTGACAGAGTTACAAGGTGCGAGCCATTTCGAGACTGGGTATCCTGCGCTTAAAGGAGGGAGCTAATTTCGTTCCATCCGCCTGGTAGCTTCACCATTCACACTGTCCGAGTGTGGGCCGTAGGGTCGGTCTGCAGCACAATAAGCCGTGTGTTTGACACTAGGGTTGGTGTTGCTCAGGATCTTTTAAAACCAAGGGGGTAAAACAAACAAATGAGACTGAAACATTGAAAATTCCAAAGACGCAGTGATTTCAGGGGGAGATAATGCACTTTTTTTTCACATCCATTACAAAATAAGATATTTACTTGCACTGAATAAATAACCTGGTTGGGAGCAGCCAGATAGGATGGGTAGATACCTAGGGGTCTTTAAAAGGGGTATCGAGTCATTGATATTGTGGGCTAAAAAATGAGAGTATTATAATTTATTGTCAACTTCGTCCCTCTGCCCTCCCTGTTTTAAGCCCGAACTGCTATTGATGCAATCAACAACTCAACCTTCACACAGACAGCCCATCAATCAGCTGTGGTGCTACAACTCATGCTAGTGGCAATGGTCAGCCCATCAATCAGCAGTGGTGCTACAACTCATGCTAGTGGCAATGGTCAGCCCATCAATCAGCAGTGGTGCTACAACTCATGCTAGTGGCAATGGTCAGCCCATCAATCAGCTGTGGTGCTACAACTCATGCTAGTGGCAATGGTCAGCCCATCAATCAGCTGTGGTGCTACAACTCATGCTAGTGGCAATGGTCAGCCCATCAATCAGCAGTGGTGCTACAACTCATGCTAGTGGCAATGGTCAGCCCATTAATCAGCAGTGGTGCTACAACTCATGCTAGTCGCAATGGTCAGCCCATCAATCAGCAGTGGTGCTACAACTCATGCTAGTGGCAATGGTCAGCCCATCAATCAGCAGTGGTGCTACAACTCATGCTAGTGGCAATGGTCAGCCCATCAATCAGCAGTGGTGCTACAACTCATGCTAGTGGCAATGGTCAGCCCATCAATCAGCAGTGGTGCTACAACTCATGCTAGTGGCAATGGTCAGCCCATCAATCAGCAGTGGTGCTACAACTCATGCTAGTCGCAATGGTCAGCCCATCAATCAGCTGTGGTGCTACAACTCATGCTAGTCGCAATGGTCAGCCCATCAATCAGCTGTGGTGCTACAACTCATGCTAGTCGCAATGGTCAGCCCATCAATCAGCAGTGGTGCTACAACTCATACACCCATCAATCAGCAGCCGTGCTACAACTCATGCTAGTCACTTTGGTCAGCCCATCAATCAGCAGCCGTGCTACAACTCATGCTAGTCCCCCATCAATCAGCAGCCGTGCTACAACTCATGCTAGTCGCAATGGTCAGCCCATCAATCAGCAGTGGTGCTAAAACTCATGCCAGTCACTTTGGTCAGCCCATCAACCAGCAGCCGTGCTACAACTCATGCTAGCTGCTATGGACGTTGCTTCAAATCTGCTTAAACATCGTCAGTCCAGCTCTGTTGTCTAAACAAAGATTTACTATGGTCTTGGGGTCATATGAACACGGATTGTATGACTAAAATTACAGTACAGTTTAAAAAAAGGTACCATGGTCCTATAAACAAAGATAGTAAGGTCTCATAAAAATAAACCGTAGTATATGTTAATGGGATGTGCACGGTTGTAATGTGATAAATTTATATTTTAACAAACTAAAGCATATGTAACACACAACTTTGATTTTCTTTGTGGCTGAGTTTGTTTTTTTTTCATTTGTTTCAGTATGTAATGCTTCCAAAGTCTCAAAAAAAACCCGTGTTTGACTCACAGATATCCCCAAGTTTCCAAATTGATGAAGGCTAACCTAGAGTGTACAATCAAACTATAAAATGCTATAAGATCACATAATAATCAAATACAATCTAAAAATTGTATTATTTACAAATTTTGTGAACAAGATTTTTTGCCACAGGATTTCTTTTTAAAATGTGTGCCTAATAGCTGTAAATAATCTTTTGTTTTTTATGTCCAAGCAAATCTTCGTTGACTGTAGAGACATATTGATACAGTAGCTGAGAATCAAGTTGTTATGGCTCAAAGGGCCGTCTGTGACACCTGAGAGGCCAGCACTGGTCAATTCTAACATGCAACAACTGGAGATGACACATGCTAAAAGTCCTCAGATCACATCTTGAGTTTTGTCTAAAAAATTTTAATTAAATAAACAGTAACCTGGCCATTCATGAAACTATTTTTCTATGATCAAAACATTGAAATCCCGACCCTAACCCTGAACCTAACCTACCAATCACATTATGAAAGTTATCAATGCATTTCAAATGAATGACCCCATAAAATACAAACATTTTATGTCCAATAATTTAATAGGAAGAATCTGAAATGCATGATTTGTTTTCTTGTTTTTTTTTCATTGACATTTTTTTCTGTGACAGGGGAGACAATTTGTCTTCTGGTAAACATAAGGAATGGGTGGTTCCAACATAAGTTCATTGTAACATTTAATCTCGTCCTTTTATATTCTGCCATAAATTTTAAAACGAAGAGGCCTGTTTTAAACAGTAGTGTGTGTTGTAAGCAGTGGTGCTTGTTTTCAAACAGTGGTACACGTTTTGAACAGTGGTGAATAAACTTGACCATATTTACACTGCATCACCACTAGACAAGGGAGACACAGCATCACCACTAGACAAGGGAGACACAGCATCACCACTAGCATATTTACACTGCATCACCACTAGACAAGGGAGACACAGCATAAAGTGGGCCTATAAAATGGGACCATCTTGGGGGCTGCAAAAGTCCATCATCACAATAAAACAAAAACTCAACAAATTAAAAAGATTATTACATCATTGATTGTTGCAAGAGTTATTTTCTAATCCTTTCTTACATCTGTTTTTCTGCCGTTAACTCAGAAATGACATAAAAATTGATTTGTTGTTTCATCCAGGCTAACAGCTCTGTTCATAATAAAAGTTCTGTTTCAAGATTTCAGCCATGTTCTGTGCATAACTTTATATAGCAAAAATGGAAGGATTTCACCAATTGGTTTCTTTCAATTATAAAGAAGCGACGAGGCCATGACAGGCAATTCAGGCTCATACCAGCAAGAAGCCAGTATAGGAGCTGCTCATTCCTGCCCAATACAATCAGGGACTGGAACCATCTTTCAAAAGGAACAGTTGAGGCGACAACACTAGACACATTTGTGTCTATTGCCTCAAGCCTTCAAACCTCTAGTGCATAATTTCCTCATCACCACCAGTAACAGAAACATTGCAAATCCCATCTACATGCATAGGAGCCAAAATGATCAATAAATTGATCGTGGGCCCTTAAGATATAGAAGAAGANATGGAAAATAAAACTAAAGAAATTCATAGTATGGCAGATTGCATTTTTTTTATCAGATTGCATTTTTTTTATTAGATAACACTGTGGTAAGAATTTTATGGAGAAATCAAGCTATAAAATAACTGTTTTTTTTTTTTTTCTTTTCCAATCCATTTTCTTAAGATGTTCAATTCATCAAAATGACATCATAATAAGACTAAGTTGTTTTTTTTATAACCTTTTTACATTTTTTTCATAATTGAAATTTAGCCCTACTCCCCTACCCCACCACCAAAGTAAATGCATTAAAAACACCCAAAAAAATATTAATTTAGTGTCATACATACAAGTTGCTCTGGGCTCTCCTCAGTTAAAAAGTCAAAACAGTCTTCCTGCCTCATCTATCAAAAGTGTCTAAGAAGCAAATTTAATTTGGTAACATAAAAAAAATGTGTCCATTTCTTTTGACAAGCAAACGTTTGTGGTACAATCTCAATCAAAATTCATCAAGATTAACTGGTGACTAACAAAACTAAAAATGTTCCATAAAAATCGTACAGCACAGTGTCATATCAGTGCAGCATATTAACCCTCTTCAAACATCTCTAATATTAATATGTAAATGTATGCGATAAATGTGTGCAATTTTGTCACCGACATTGATGAGCAGCTGTGGTAGAGTGTTGCTGTCGATGAGCCTCTCACCCTCAGATGTTCTGTTAATGTCTGAGGTGGTTGGCCTCATGTCTGCTGTTTCAAGTTTAAGCTAAAATTGCTTGTCATGAGAGACTGAGAATTTTTTTAAGTAAAAGTACACTGTACCGGTACTTTACTGCTGGCCCATGTAGTACAACTAAATAAGGATTCAGGATTAAAGAAGTAAAAGTACCCTGTACTTTTAATTCTTTACTGGTGGAACATGTAGTACAATTAAATAATGTGTTTCCTTTCCTGCTCAAGGTTCCTGCCATTTTCATTATCTGTCAATTTTTCTTGGAATAAGACTCAATAGTGGCAAAGTAATAACAAATATTAAGTTACTAGTCATATTTCTATAAGAAATGGCGTTGTTATGATGAACCTGAACAGTTAAGATTAATTGCTGCTGTCAGGTTAAAAATAAAGGGAAAAATACATGATACTTTATTTAGCAATTGCTAAATTAATTTTTTTGTTGGGGGTAAAGCTTTCCTAGCAACCAAGATCTGTGCACGGTGGAACATGTTTTGAAATGCACCACCCACAGGCTGACCATTTCAGTTAAATTAGATTTACTTTTACCTCAAAAAAACAAGTGCCAGCAGTGTATCCATGGTTTCTGTTATGTTTGATGCTACAAGCAGTAACTATAGTTCGTATACTTGTGCAATAGTCACACAATAAAGCAACCCTGGGGTCTTAAGCTTCTCCTGTGCTATACTAGATTAGCATACAAAACAAATCGAACCTTTGCACACATTTATTAGTCATAGATTCATGAAGGTAAAATAAAATTCCCTGGATATCTTGAAATCAATGGTTGTCATGGCGTTTTACGTAACTCTGGAGATGAAAACCTTCATGTTATCTTTTAATTGAAAACTTGAGGTAGTGAAGCGGTCAATGGTGGGTATAATATTATTTATAGCATGTGACAAGCAAGATATAAATTTTAAATCATTTTGATTGTGTTCAACAGCTTATGAAAATCACACTTGTTAAAAAGTTATAATCTCTTTCAAAAGATATCAAATGCCTGCGGTAAACACAAGTCATTGAGAGTCTCATCTAACAAAGAAATAACAATTTAAAATCATCAGAATGTGTTTAGAGGTGACATGCATTATCTCTAGTTCAACACAGAAGTTGTGTACATCATCTCAAGTTCAACACAGAAGTTGTGCTCATCATCTCCAGTTCAACACATTAGAAGTTGTGTAAATCATCTCATTTACAACACATTATAAGTTAGAACATCATCTCCTGTTCAATACATCAGAAGTCATAGACGTCATCTCCAGGCCCTTGTTTCTGACGGTGGTGATTTGAATCATTCCATTGTTTCTCCGACCGTGAAGCGGGTGTTTGTGGCTTACTGTTGAAATGAGAAGTCTGAGAAAAATTGTGTCCTGAACTTGACCACTTCGGTCCTGTCAAAATATTGATATTAAATTATTATTATACATTTAATTATAAAATTTTTTTAAAAAAATATTTTTTTTTAGAGAAAATTGTTACTTGCTAGAGAAGAAAAAAATGATATTTAATTAAATGCAATAAGAATTATTAAATGCAAGATTTTTCAAGCCTTATAAAGTGAGCTATGGTGAATTTGTTAAATTAACTTTTTACTAATGGCTGTAGTGAAATAGATATGCAAAGTAATTTAAATTATTTAAAAGTCACATAGTACTGAAATTAAAGAGTGGTTAAACTGATTTGTTTTACTTTAATAAAGAAGAAAAATCAGAGAAAAGATTCTAGCCACACACAAGCTAACTGATTAATGCACTCCCAACTCACCAGATAACAGAGATGGATATGCACCATTTAGTGGACTGCCTGTGCGACCTGAAAGAAATTAAATTTTAAAGTATCTCCTTAACTCAAGAAACATTCACATCTATAAGCTTTTTGTTAGGTGAAAAATGTCTCTCAAGCATGATACAAGAAAGATTATTTCAGGCAATTGCGTTAGCCTGAGTTAAAATAAAAAATAAATTATTTAACTCGTAGCATTTAGTCCACCATGGCAGAAAGCACATCATCATCATCAACATCATCATCATGTTCTTAGTCCTTGGACCGTTGGGGCGCCACAGATGACATGTGAACTATCCTCCTCCATTCGTCTCTGTCTTCAGCACAGCACACAACATCGCCCAGTTTTAGTCCTGTCCACTCTTTGATGTTATCCCCCATCTTTTTCTTTGTCTTCCTTACTTCTCCCTCCTCTTGTAGTGCCCGGCAATATTTCTTTGGCAAGCCCTTGTTTCCTTGTTATGTGGCCATACCATTGTAGTTTGCCTTTTTTGACAGTCACCAGTAGGTTATCATACTGCCCAATTGCCTGACGAACCTTTTCTTTCACTTTATCATTGGAGATATGGTCCCTATAGCAGATGCCAAAAATGCTTCTGAAGCATCTCATCTCTACCGCCTTTATTTTCCTTTCAAGATCTGCTGTTAATGTCCATCATATTTTTGTAAAGTCTTGGACGCCTTTGAAATCTAGCACAACAATGTTGACTGTAGAGGGAAAAACTTCAACATACAAAACAAAGGTGGTTTCTCATTGAGACAGAGTTATTTATGATTATTTTGATATAATTTTCATTGTATTTGCTGATGTCTATTTAAAGATGCATTCCCAGCCTCACATTCTGTTTGCAGTCATCCCTGGTCTATCACGGTTAATCGCTTCCAGACCCTACCACGATAAGGGAACTTCCATGAAGTAGGATGCTTTATTTATAAATTGAATATTTTCTTAGTTAGAGCATAGAAAATCTGTTCAGGACTTTCTAAATATGATTTTTAACATTATTAGACCCCTGGGATGCTCAAATACAAAGGCCTACATTCCAAACGTACAGTATTTTTAATTGTAATACAGGGGTGAATAATTGACTCAGACAACAGAGCATGCGCTGTATCATTTTCACTATCTCAATCAACTTTTTAATGAATACATATATTTATATTTGAAAAAAAAATTCAATAGAGTGAAGCCATGAAAAAATGGAAGCGCAAAGTGGCAAGGGACGACTGTACAGTGGAACCCCGCTATAACGTGCCGCGCCATATTGCGAATTCGGATATAACACGGTTGTAGCATGGCTCTCGAAATTTGAAATTCATTTACTCCATCAGGCCTAAGTTCTTTGAAAATTTTATCCATTGCTTAAAAAGCTATTTTTTAAACCGAAAATCACAACTTTTCAAAATATCGTAGAAAATGAGCCCCTAAATGCACCACGTTCAAACTAGTATCAAAATTAATGCCGAAAACGAGGCTTTCTTCCGGTAGAACTATAAATATTAATACGTAAGGGATTCCCACTGTGCTAAGAACGAAAGTAAACCACGCATTAACGCAACCCCGCTTTTAACGCGATCCGATTTTATGGACCCCGATCATCGCATTATAGCGGGGTTCCCCTGTATATTAATTAATTTTCTCCCTTGATGACATTAAAAGTACTTTTAAGATTCTATTTGCTGTGAAGAGCATTTTAGCAGTTCATTTTGCTAAATTTCTTTTCTGGTTGCCCTAAATCATTCAACCATTTGACAATGCAGATATTTATGATGGTGCAATAGTGAATGTTTTACCATTTAAGAGAGCAATTTTGAATAGAACGTACAAGTACTGTGAACTAAACTAAATACTTGAATATGTCTGGGGTTTTTCCAGGGATGAGGTTATAGTCAGACGGAATGGCCTTGTCAGCCCAGCTAGGTTTTTTCCTTTCTTCTGATCTTTTTTTTCATTAGGGACTTGTGCCCATTCTTATTCTTTTCCTTTATTTAAGGTATAGGTTGGATAAAATATATATATATAAATATATATATATATCATGTTAATTTAATTTATAATTACATTGATGCTTTTTGCAGCACTGATGAAGGCATTCGCCACAATGTTTGAATCTGTACATTATGTAATCATGATTAAAGATTGACATATTGTTTTATTTACATATATTGTTTGTGTCTCACTTATTCAGCTATGTAGCAATTCTTGAGGGATGTGGAAAAATGGAACAGAGCAGCCAACTTAGTGTGCCTAGATATCTAATGTTTAAGCTTTCCAGACAATCATTTGAGAGAAGATAAATAAAACTTCTAGGTGCTACCACCCAATGGCGTAGCGAGGGTTAGTGCGGGCCAATAATTTTAATGCACCCCCTTCCGCAGAAAAAACTCTGTATCCGGCTGAAATAGCTGCCACTCCATGTAAAGAAAACAGGTGCCTCCCTCTCTGCCCCTAATCTTTCAAGTGCCATTGAACTCACCACTCATTCCTCCGTGCCGAGAATAAAAACCAACAGGTGCATTCCGTCCGATGGTTTCATGTTTTAAGCCAGCAGGTTCAGGTGTTACTGTCCTGCCAACTGAGTTAAGACCAACATTTCTTATGCTCCACACTCTGTCCAGATCCACAGATAACCCTGTTGGTGAAAATGTCGTAAGAAGTAATTAAAATCTGATTTTAAAAAAAGTTGAGCTCATGGCACAACTAAACTTTCATTAAAGGGTTTTCTAGGGGGAAAAATAAGCTAATCTTATAGTAACACAGTAATTTATTAAGTTTGCCTGATAATTAGCATGGTGATATTCTGTAGTGTATCTTTAAGAGTTACTACATTCTCAAATGTGATTTGGATGTACACTAGCATTGGAATTATAATTTTTAAAAAACAGTATCAACTACACCCATGGACTTGTTATATTTATATCTACTTATATTTTTTAAATGTTGTTGAAATCAATACGTTTTTATACAGTCCTCATGACACATTCAAACATTCAACAGCTATCTAAAAAAACAGAATTCCAATAGCTAAATATACTTCAGTCGTAGGCAATCATTGAGAATAAAATTACAAAGATATACTAGTGAAAAACTGCCATTTTGGATTACTGCTTGCATTAATAACAAATGGGGTGATACAACCTACTGTCACAGACCTCTTGGAGAGTTACTGGCCTTGGTAGATACTGGAAAGATAACATTCTCTGTGACTTGAGATTTACCAGGACTAGAGTAGAGGAACTTCTTCCCGCCACCTAAAGGAAATTGTTAAAAATCATGATTAGTTCAAATCTAGATAATCCTCAGGGCTTGCAACAACTGTAGTTTTGGAATGCCACCCAAAATCACAATTTTTTAGAATTTTTAGGTTAAGTTAACAAAAATTCCTTTACTGGTCCATACAAATGAAATGTTTTGTCATGACATTGTGCAGGTTCATTTTCAGCATATTTAATAATATAACAGACATTGAAAGGCTGCTTAGTTAAATTTAAAAAAAACAAAAATAAACTAAATCAATTCAACTTAAATTCTCAAAAAAACAACTATCCTATGTCATCAGAACCATTACCTCTGCCTAAGTTAATCTGAGAACTATGATAGATTGGGGAACAAATTATTTTCTTTATCTACTTGGTTAAATATCCAAAAAAATATTTGAGATTCATTAAAGTACATCTTGTTTGTGATTTATTCCATGGGTATGTTTTGGTTTATGTTTTATAATACTTGATTAGTGAGCCAATTTGGTGTAGAGATTTATTGTGTAACTGTTGCTATTTCATGTGGTTTGGATTGGTGATGTTTTTGAGTATGAGGTATGACAACTCTTAGCTATCCAGCTCCCTGTGCTATCCAGCTCCCTGTTAGAATCCATACAAACAAGTGTTCATAACACATCTAACATCCTTACCATATCCTAAATTTCAAATGTCATTAAAATAATTAATCTTATGTCTCTTGATCTGCAAAGCATGCAGAGTATACATAGGATTAATAGCTGTGACTCTAACCTAAAATAAAGAACCTTCAAGACTAAATTACTGGTAGTTGATGACAATGAAAAAGCGTTTTTTGCTGAAGCATGATGAAGGTTAATGCCAAAAAGAGCCCCTGGGTTGGTAGCATTAAAATTTGAGCAATAAACTTGACCAGGAAACAAATCAAATGCTTAATAAATGAAAGCTATTTAATTTTTTTTTTAAACAATTTTATTTTTAAAAATCTGTAAATGAACTAAATTTTTATTTCAGCCACCAACTCTCTATTGAAGCTATTGCCTTGCATTGCTTCTCTTTTAGCTTCTTAAGCAAATCAGGCAGACCACAAAAGTTATCCAACAACCCACACAGGTTCTTGCATGCCAGATAAATGATGTCGCACCCACTTCATCACAGATGCCTTAGATCAGGCCAAGCTAGGCAAATTCTTTCCCTCAAAGTTGGGAACCAAAATTATAAAAATTAATTTGTTCCTCCAATCTGTTAGACTTTAAGAGCTGTTAAAAAAATGTAAATAATCACAGTAAAAATCAGCATTGTCAACAAGGGAGTAAAGTTTTATGATATATGATGCCTAATTTTTGTTTGAAAAATAAATAAGATGTCTTGTCTTTAAATTGTTCTAGTTCAAAATGTTGTCATGGTAAGAATCTGAGGGCTGAAAATTATAATTAAATAACATTTTTCCATTTATTTGGATCAATACAATAATTTTCTCTCATCTTATCACAACCACATACCTGAGTTTGTTTCCAAAGGCATTTCACATGTTTCTTATGATTATTCAAAAGGGTTAGCTATCCATTCCTGATCGCTGTCTCACAGTGGAATCAATATTTCTGTAATATGACAGTGGTCTTTTGGTGTGGCTAAGAATAAGGATGTTAAATGATTTTTTTTTAAATTTGGCTTTAGAATGTGTATATTTGGTATTCCATCTATTTAATAAGGGGCCATCCATAAATGATAGGCTTATAGCCTAGAGGGGCAGGGTTTCACATATTTGTGATGATGTGTGACACTATGGGGAGAGAAAGAGACAAAAATTTACGAAACAGCATGATGGTCCCTTAAATAAATTGAATTTAATGACTTAACTTACTTTTACATATATGATATTTTATATTATTTGACATGAAAATTATTTCATAATGGTAGTAATTTAAAGGTCGCTAACCAGATGATATTGTGGTGACCATAAAGCACACATTGCCGGATACTGGTAAAATGAACAAAAAGCAAGCTAATATAGTAAGATTTAATAAAGAATTTGAAATAAATAAAATAGGCCTACTTAACCTACTTTTTTAACTTGCTCTCATCCTTAATGTTTTCTTTAATAAATACACCTAGATAATCGGTAATAACGATAACCTGTAATAACGGAAGAGCTTTCAGTGCATACCACAAATAATATTGAACATACATGAAATACTTGTAATTTAATATTAAACATATTTTGCATGAAAATTTAGGAATTTTGTGCCCTCTTAAGGTAGGCACTTGGAGCGGCTGCCATCCTTACCTCATATGAAAATTTTATATTTTTGGGGTTACTAAAGTATAGATTGCGTCTAAGTCTATGGGATAATTACAACGTCTATGGGATAATTACAACGCATTTGTGACCAGTCTGAGTGTGTCTACATTTTTTTTTTTTTTTGGTGATTTCTAATGATAGAAGAAGAAAAAAAAAAAAAGGGGGGGGGGGGTGTTAAAAATTGTCCAAAATAATGTGACATCATTTATGGATGGTTCCTAGTTAAAAGTTACAACGTTCAATATTAATAATATTAAATATTATGCCTATTAATTTAAACACTTTTTAAACGGTAACAAACTAGACTAGACTATTTAATATTAAGATTTCAACACTAATTAATTACTTTGACTTTAATTTAACTTTAATTTAAATTAGTCTAATTAGTTAATTAGTTACAGTTACTGATACTGAAAGGAAAAAAATACCAAAACGATACTTTACCCTGGTTACTATACGCACCACTAATGTAACCTATTTGCTTGCTAAAGCGCAGACAATTGGATAAACAATTGTTAGAACGGTAGCCTTGTTAGAATTCAAGGCAGGCAGGCTTCCTAAACAACCGTCGAAACGGATGTTTATCGCCAAGTCCACTACAACTACATCTACAAAAATCAAAGAAAGTAAAGTCTACTTACCAACATCTAGATAAATGTAAATTTAGTTGTGATCCATCAGAAATTTTTTTAAAAAATTGAATTTGATCCTATATAATCTGAATCAGGGAAGACCTAAAAATTTCTGATTTCAAATAACTTTCAATTTTTAATTAATTTGTGTATCTATCAGAAGCAATTACTCTACCCATTTAATTTAAAGATAATTGATTAGTAAAAAAATATTTCAAATGTAGTCTAGGAGGGGAATGAAACAAATGAAAAGCCTCATAGTCATGGTTTTAAAATAATAAGTGTATAAAAATTCTACTTAGTTATACTATTCGTCGTTTTCTATGCATTCCAAATAAACTAGATTATTTTGCAAATAGCAAATATTTAAATTTAATTCATTAAAATACTTAAATGAAATTTTCACCTAAGTATTTCAAGTTTGGTACGTTTTTGTTTGTTTTCCCAATGTCTTGCACTGTGTGCTCCTATTAAAGATTTAGTTTGGACAATAAATTTGAAGCAGAATCTCCTACTGCCTTTTCATTATATGGCTTGCATCATGAAATAAAATTTTGAACTTCTCTTTTTTTTAACATTAAAAACTAAATGTAATTCCTGGAGAAGTAACAAAATTGCACCTTCTAACACACAGGTATCATCGTTTATAGTATAATTTTATTTAAATATAAATCACAAATAACCTTTAAGTGCGTTCGCACTTAATAAGAACTCAACAAAACAACGAATGTATCGGCAAGAAGACACGTCAGCGAACAAATTACAGTAAATACAGCATTAATTTATTTTAACACTTAGCTGAAATGTAGTATCCGAGAAGACAGCAAGAGGGATGTGCAAATTTCTATATTAAAGCCTCCCTCTTTGTAGATTTCAACAGGATGTGCTTCTTGTCCTGTAGCTTTATTTGAGGAGAGTTGCTGGATTGCCCTCCCGACTCACCTTTAATGGGGACTGTTGTCTAGCTCTTGGTTGATCTCCACCTATGGTAAGCAAGCAATGAGAATATAGTTTGCTGCAGATGAACAGTTAAGGACTTGAAAAAATTGTTCGGCCCATCTTTCTAAAATCTTACTCTTGTCTGTCAGTAGCTGAGTTCGATCTTTTAAAATGTATTATTTAACTAGCAGCAAAACGTCGGAGAAAAGATGATAAGTAAGGAAAGATGGACTAGAAGCTTGAAGGAATTAGATTGACAAATCTGCTTAGCCAAAATCGGCAAATGATTTATAGGGCCTATGTTTGAAATGTTGGACCAGTTTCAGATTACGAACGTTTGTATTTGTAGTATATTTTCTTATTTTTTTTGTGACTGTAAGCAAGCGCTCCCAAGGAGGTAAAAAAAAAAGCGATTACAGTGTCACTGAAAGCTGCACTAAAGGTCTTCAGCATCAAACCTACTCAATGGGTGCAGCCAGCCCAGGACAGAGCCAGGTGGAGAGCATATGTCCAGAAGTGGACTAAATCTCATGAAGCTAATAGGATAACCACAGCCGAGACACGCAGGCTTCCCGAAAGAGCAACATTAGTTCACCGTCTACAGCAACTATCCCCTGCCCGCGGTGCCAGAGATAGTGGCAAAATATCGATACTGTGTGTTCGCCTTGAGACTTACTTTTGCATTTGCCGGCCCAACAATTTGGAATGCACTTTCAGTGGCTCTCAGAAATAGCCAGACATTGGAGTCCTTTAAAACCGATTTAAAAACACATCTATTTCGCAAACACCTTCTGGGGTGATGCTATCTACCATCTTTTTCAGTTAATGTATATTGGCTTGTTTTGCTTATGGTTGAAACGGGATGAAAGACTTTGGCTGGGTATGCTCATATGTAGCTTTATATTGTTGCGTCTGTTTTTAAATGTGGTAACTTTTAGATTGTTTTTATTTCTCTTTTTAATATGGTTGACTTTGCACCGCGCTTCGAGCTTTTGGGGATAAGCGTGTTTTTCAAATAAACTTTATTGCTATTATTATTATTATTCCGAGCACGGATCGGTCTAGTAAGCCACCTACGAGCTCACCGTAACCCACCCTCCCCTAACCGGATGACTCGATGGTCCTAGTCCTGTGGTCGGCAAATCGCGGCTTGAGTACGGCTCGGCCAGTCGGCCAGAAATCGGTTTTGATTCCGAAAAACAATGTTCTTGAAAAGAAATTTGGCTCTCAAAATGTTTTTAATCGTCCTGCTGCTGATTTTTTTGGATCTTTTAACTAATGAGTTTTCCGACCACTGTCCTAGTTGATTTCGACGGACGAACAACAAAATTTTAGTCCAATTTTTAATATCCCCATTTTCAAACTATCTCGGTGAAAAGAGTAGTCCAGTTTCACTGCGGTCCTACTTTTAATTTCATCCGTGTGTATACAGTTTAATGTTTTTAACTAAAACAAATGGCTGAGGGAAGACATGGAAATTCTCCCCTGGAAGACTTTAATCCATTATGTGAAGAACAGTATGTATCAGTATGATTGATTACATTTTAATAGACTAATGAATACGTTTAAAAAAAATTCTTTGTAAAATTATTATTTATTTTTAAAAATAATGCATGAAAATGAACTTAAGGCCTTGGCAATTGGCCTTTAATCATGAAATTGAAATCACTTTTAAAACGTTATGTTAACTCATTAACTTAACATCGACATCATCAATCATTGTATGATTGTTTACTTCAACGAAAATTAAATATGAATCCCGAAGAATAATCACTGATTAAGATTAGGTGCGTCTAGGCTTAATAAACTAACGATTATTATTATTATATAGGCTAGGCCTCAAGAAAATGTAAACCTATCTATCTTCTCACTTGGTCAAAATAAATTCTCAAAGATTAAATTAAGGTTGTCTTAAAAAATTAAAAGAAGAAACCCCCTTGTGTAATGCCTCAGTGTCAACTTAGGCGATCTCTTAACCCTCATTTGTCTATTTGTACATGATAGAATAAAATGGAACATGATTTATTACAAAAATAAATGAAACTCAACTTATTACTTGAATAAATTCAATGATTGTTCCAACCGGTTAACCTAATCCAGCCAGAGATATCACAGTATTTTGGAAATTTATAAAATAGGAAAAGTTTTATATGCTATACTATAAATAAAGTCTTTACTCATTATTGATCTATTATTCTTTATGTGAATGCGATGGATGGGCTCAGTTGGTCGTACCTCTTGATTGCTAGACAAACTGAAGTATGAAGCAGCGATTTCCATTGCTCTCAAAAACAGAGATTCTGGAATCTGTGATCTATGAGACTATGAGAGCATGGGGTTTGATTTGATTCATTGTAGTAATGGCTGTGTTAAATGACTTGTGCAGGTGATGGATTCTTTATCAATCAGATTTTGGTAATGAATGGCCGAGACATCTTTTTTTTCTTTCTAAACAACAAACTCATAGTAGGAGCAACCTAATGTGGGTTTCATTAACAACTTCTCAACAAAGCAAATTATTCCCACCCCCGCCCACATACACACCTATTCAGTGCATGTTTCATGCAACAACACAAAGCTTACATAATTGACCAAAGGTACATAAATGAGAAGCAAAGATTCTTAGTTTGCAAAGCTGACTCATTATTTGTAATTCAAACACTGCTCCCTTATGTGAAAAGAATTGCTAAACACACATCATGTTTTTCAGCTCTTTTGTGGGGCTCATACTGAACTGCTAATGTTAGCAGTTCACAGTGCACACATTATCATGGTTGTTAATCACCACTGGTACTTCTGTTTGTGTTAATCGCCACTGGTACTTCTGTTTGTGTTAATAGCCACTGGTACTTCTGTTTGAAAATTAGATTAAAGGTTTTCGCTCACTTGTGTTCCTGAAACAATGATATTAACTCTTGCTGATCTATACTAGATGCTGACAATCAAATCAGTTTCTCACCTTTCTCTAGAGTAATTAATTTTAACTTAAGAAACATATTCCTGATAAATTTTCACCAGCACTCCCTTTTTTGTTCTAAGCACCTTTCCCTGCTAATTTTAGCAACCGCTGCCCAAGACCACAGCTTCTTCGTAAGCCTATATTATTGTTTAATTCTATAGTTAACTAGGTGAGATGATGTGAATCTGTAATTTTAATTTTGACCCTAAATATGTCCTAATTTTAATTGGTCAAAAGTGATGGATTAAGGGCTCAACAAACAGGATGATGTGTGTCTACACACTTTGTCAGATCACAAAACACATAAATTTCCTCTTAAACAGAAATGGGTCATAATCTTTCACTTTTTCCCAGGGATCATTAAAATTAACTCACATCTTAACTGCTTAAAACCAAACAAAACACCAAGTTGCCCCATCTGCAAGCAAAGTACGACATCACCACCTTTTATGTCTTCAGAATTTACAGCTTAACTATCTACCACAATTACCATATTACAAGAAGACCTTATATTCAGACATTGGCCAAATAAGAAACACCTGCATAATTTTCACCTTAGCTGTAGGGCCATCTTCAATTTACTACTGGATCAGAATTGTGAGGAGGAAGATTAGTCAGAAGTAGTGACACCAAAAAATGTATCATTGGGACCAATAAGACTTCTGCAGTGTGTCATAGGTTGGAAGAGACTTTTTAAATTGCTTAATCTTTGGGCCCATAGCATAAGCCAATACAAATTTAATCCTCAGGTTTACTGAAACTTACCTACAGCAAGCTTCAAATGGAGATGATAGCTGGCAGGAAGACCTGCAATCACCAAAAGGAAGTGATGAGGACGGATCTGTTAGTGATGTAGATGAAGGCAGACTGCTTGGACAACAGTATTCTATCACCCCACCATCAATACCAAGAGTAAGAATACGTGAAAAGGGTAAAGGACGGAGCGTGGATAGATCTTACAAGGAGTTCCTTATAAACAAACGCCAGCAGCAACCCAAGTCAGAAATCAATATCATTAAAGATGAGTACCTCACTGATCCGGCACTTTGCAACCTTATTGAGTTTGATTCGGATGATAATTTGGATAAAGATTTAATAAGAGAGAAAAAAGAGAAAAAAAAGAAAGAGACTAAAGAGATGAAGAAAACACTTTCCAAAATCCGTTTAAATGATAGGCAAGAAAAAAGACTCTCTGAAGACTTTGGCATGCTACATGTCAGTGATCCACTGGACCAGTCACACATACAGGTTAAACTTGAAGGATCCGGGAGGTTTTCCCACTTGAGGACAAAACCAATCCCTCTCGTGAGCCCAGAAAGTAGAGTGAGGCGCCAGATAGCAGATGCTCCTACTTGCCCAAAGGCAAGAGAAGAATTTCATACTAACTTTTCTTTACTAATAAAGCTAGGCACAGAACTAAAAAAAGATAAGGAAAATAATCTTGCCACACACAGAAATGCATTCCATGAGTTAATAAAGCAGAGAACATCTTTAATAGAGCAAATTTGGTTGGAGTTGCAGGCGTACCTTAATAACAAAATTTCGCCTGAAGAGCAAAGTGAAATTTTAAAGAATGAGAGGCAAGTTCATGAGCAGGTCATTGATGAAATCAACAAATTTTGTTTTGCTGACACGGTTTCTGAAGAATGCGGGGACAGTTCAGTAGATTCAAGCGCAAGAGCAGTATTTTTTAGTGGCAATCCGCAGGATAAATCTTACCGAGAATTAGTCTCGAGGAGCGTTTCCGCTTCATTCTCGGACGTCAATCTCAACAATGATGTTGTTTGTCTTCAGGTGAAAGCACTTTTGCAAGTGCAGAGATTGCTGGAGAAGCTTGATCATTATGAAAGCTGCTTCAATACTACAAAGGCTTGTGGCAAGGAGAATAAAAAATATATGGACCCTGGATTCCAGCGAAGGGTCAAGTGTCTGAACCTTTGGTTGAATATCACCTGTGACCTGTGCCAAAAACTGAAATTGTTTGGGCGCATTATCGGAGCCCATTCACGGGGTATATCATGGCCCCTGATTAATTTTGAATTCCCCAAACCCCAGCCACTTGAATTCCATGCTTGTCAAAGAGCGAGTGTACCAAATGTGATGGAAACTGAGCCAACAGACTGTTCTGATGTAGAAGAAGTGGAAGAAGGAGAGTGCAGTGATCAAACGGTCAGCATCACTGAATCAGAGGGGAAGAATTTTCTGACGCCCAACCGTAAACAGGTTAAGTTTCAGTTTGGTGATGAAAGCAACAGTGATCAGGGCTCACCGGCGGGCAGTCCTGGAAGCCATGATCCCTTGAATCCTCTTAACTCAAGCACTCCGCTTAAGGGCTCATCTGTTTTAACCAGTGCAACTGCTGCATCTTATTCTTCTGTACTGGGAGTTTCTCATGCCTCAAGTGATGGCATTTTTGAAAACAGTCGCTCTTGCAATGCTTCAGTGTACAGACACTATGCCGAAAAGTGCCTTAGAAAAATGGGACTGCAAAGGCTTAACGTACGGCTCAGAGATTTATTCCATCGAAGTCTGCGGAGAGCTAAGGAAGCATTACAGAGGCCTAAAGATACACCATATTCTGACATGGTTGCTGAAGAGCAGGTAATAAAATGCCATACTAGTTTAGAAAGACTCAGAATCTTGCATATTTATTATTTGTTTCAAAATTAATTGTGGAAATTAACATTGATATGTTTTAAAGCAGTTTAAGCTCAAATTAAAATTCTCTGTGGGAAAACTTTAACAAATTTCGCGAATGTGGCAATATGCAAAAGTAAAGAAATATAATTTTCTGTCATATTTAATGATTTTCAATTTCAAATAAGAAATTTGTATTTTCTTTGGAGAAAGAAAATCATTTTTTGTTTCATTGCCCAATATGCCTTTTATAATGGGGAAATTAAGGAGAATTTGGCAGAGTTTCATTTTTTTTTTTTTAAATATATATATAATATATTTCTAAAAATTATTAGGGTTAGGGTTAGTAAACCTATTTGTTAAACCTGTAATATTTTACCAGGCACAATTTACTATAAGTCAATAACTATGAACTAAATGTTCTAATCCAGCCTAAAGTTGAAGTAGAAGAATCAGAAGAATATTCTTCCATCACATCATGTGGTCCAATGTCAGGGGATGTCTACTCACGGCCAAATCTCCTGAGGGGTAGCAGCCTCTCAGAGCATGGAGAATGGAGTACTCAGTTCATAGAGATGGGATTGCCTTCATTTCGACCCACCTACTTGTATATAGTACGAATTCAGTTAGATGTTATTCACGAGTGCCTGAAGTTGAGAAAAGACCAGAGGCCTATGGGAGATCCTTCATTTCTAAGCATACGTCAGGTATGTCAAGTTTTATCTTTGATTTTACCACAACTTCCATACTTTCTGATAGGGTATAATAGAGTATAAAAGCCCACTCAACATATTTAATAATTAAACTAAAGCTTTAAGGCCCATAGTATAAAAGCCCCATCAACATATTAATAACTAAATTAAAGCTTACAAGCCCATAGTGTAAAAGCCCAGTCAGCATATGTAACAAATAAATTAAAGATTGTAGCCACCGTTTTGGTATTTATTGGCCTGTGTGCTTCCCCACATGTTTTGATACTGCTTACTTGTACGTCAACAGCTGATTCGTGAATGTAAAGAGGTCCTAAAAGGAGCTACATTGGTCAAACAGTATTACCACTACATGGTGGATGCAGTCATGTGGGATGAGCATGAGGCAGAGGCCAAGTTTGAGACAGACTTGACTGAGTTTGATGAGGACATGAAGAGCATGCTGGATGTAATGACATGTGTTTCATTGTGACATTTGCTAACTACCATTTAATATCAAACATTAGTGAAATAGCTAATGACCATCTCATGGTCCAACATTAGTCAAATAGCTGAGCTATTCGACATATTCGTAATCATTTTAATAATAGAAAACTCTTACTAGTTGTTTTAAAACTCACTTATCCGTTTCTTGTAGTTGTACTACCTACAATTAACATTTAAATGGAGATCTTTAAAGTTTTCAGTTGTTAAAATTGTCTTTAAAACTCTGCTTTCTTTCTTAAGGTTTATTTCAACTACCTGCAAAATTGGATCTACATGCTCCAAGGGTTGCCGCAAGCTTCTCTGGGAATGAAAAGTGCCCTGGAGGAGGAGTGGGGATTCACAAAGTCTATCTGTGCCTTTATAATGCGAGGGGAGGCTGAGGCCGCCAAGAAATTCAGGTGATTAATGAGCAGGCTGCTGTATGAAGTTGGATAAGTGAAAAAAATGTTTCAGTTCAGTGTATTATTTCAAGGTATCATGGTTAACTTTTTGTTTTTATTTTTTAAAATGCTGTAATAAATAAAAGTAGTCCCTGTTAGAGCCATTATAACTTCTATAATAGAATTAAGAACGAGACAAAAGGGTTTGAATTTTATTAATTTTTTTAAAATAATTTTTTTAATAGCTTTAAGCTTCTCATATTAAAATCTCTCTCCTTAAAAAAATTTTAATGCATACCTTTGTTTAAGCCAGGCCTGCACAACATGCGGCCCCAAAAGTAACGAAATATTCTGTATTCTTATTATTTTCTTAATAGCTTTCCCCCTTGTCCTATTTTCTTTTGGCCCGCACAAGTCCTGTTCTATTTTTTTGGCCCGAAAAAGCTTTTCATAAAGTATTACAGCTCACTTTACATTTTGAGTTGTGCAGGCCTGCACTTTCTCTACTATTTCTAAAGTGTTCACAAAAATAAGAAGAGTTGTTTTTTTATGGATTTAAGAGCTTTTATTGTTTAATAATTTTTCTATCTTATCACCATTTGTTAGGAATGAATAAAATAATTCTCAAATGTTCATTAAAATATCAAATCTGTCTTTTAATCTCTTACATATTAATACCTCCCCCTTCCCCCACCTAATTTTCACAAATATTCATAAAGTAAAAAAAGTTCAATTTAAACAAAAATAGAAGAAAAACTCAATTTTTTTTCACTCTGGATCTTTCCACATTTAGTTCTTTGGCAAGCAGTCTACTTAGTTCCATCGCAGATTTTCTCGATAATGGAATTGATGAAATAACACGCAATCTTTATGATGAGGCTATAGATGATGATGACGATGATGATGATCTGGAGGAAAACGAGGAGGAAAATGATGACGATTATGAAGATGAAAATGGCAGCTTAGAAAATAAAAGCAAAGCTCGAAAGATGGCTGAAATGAAGTAGGTATCATACTAGATAGATACTCTTAGCTACATGTCTTTTTTTTAATTAAACAAAACCAAAAAATAACAAACAAACATAAGCTTAATTTTCTTATTTGATTTCAGACAGAATGTACAAAATATCTTACGCAATTTCAAAATCCTATTCAATGAAGCTAGGGAGAGGTCATCAAAAGCCTTAGGATTTGCAAAACTTTTAAGAAAGGTAAGGGATTTGTCTATTTCTGTGATCTTGGCATCCAATCCATGGTAGTAATGTAGCTGAAAAAAGTTATTTAGTGAATATAATGGCATAAAGTATCTAAAATTAATAAACATGTAGCATAACTTCTTATGCAATTATGTCTTTCCAAGATTTGTGAAAGCTCAATTGATAAAACTTTTTGCGGCATAGATTCAAAGTAAATTAAGAACTTTAACCATTAGATAAAAGAAGAACTTTTCTCTTTTCTTGTTTAAATGATTAGTATTACTAAAGCAATTACACATTTATTAAGCCCCTAACTCTTAAGAACATTTTATTTTTTAAAGCTGTCACCTGTCGCTTAAGTTACATCTGTAGAAGATAAAGACTACCGTGTTTTACATATGACAAAATATTTGTTTAAACTCCATATGTTTGAGTTTTGCTATCATTGTTGGTTGAATAATTTTGAAAATAGTGTTAATTAACCGTTTCGTTTTTTAACTACCTTTCATTTCACTTCGAAATCTAGAACAAATAAACAAATAACTTTTAAGTCACTGGCAATGCATAGAAAAATTAACTGTGTAGAGAAAGGCCAAAGCTGGGTTATGTTCCTAATTTATGAAACTGACAGAGTTCCCAAATCATTTGTAAATTAATATCCCCATTGACATAGCTTAATTTAACATTCTAGCTCAACTAATTGTGTCCATTTTATATCTTAGGATTTGGAGGTGGCTGCAGATTACAATATTACAGTAACAATCAAGGAACTTTTTGCTAAACTAATGGATACCAGACATGTTCAGGTACATTTCAAAAGATAAGAATAGTTTATAACTACAATCTTTTTCTTCTGAATTTCTAAGCCTTTTATGTTTTGAAAAACCGGAACATTTTATTTTTGGATCAAGAAAATATGTGTATGATGTGATGAAATACATGTCCTTGGAAATTTTACTCAATTATTTATAGTAAATAAGATATTGGATCCAGATTCTTGGCTAAAGTACTTCTTTGGAATCTTCAGTCATTAACAAACATGTGTATTAAGATATAAAATGTTTTATTAAAAAAATGTCCTTTGTTTTTAGGGCACCACTTTGCTTTTATGCTTAGCTTTATGACTATTTGATTTTTTTCTCTGAAAACGTGTTGCTCCTCAGTTGTGTGCTCCATTGAGTTCTGGCTACATGATGTTTGTACCAGAGAAGATCATCTCT